TTAAGAAGAACTCAAGAGTTAGTCAGATTAATATTTATCTGTGTTTTAGATTATCATACCACTGCGTCGTCTCTACCTGTCGTAATTCATGTACTCTGTGCTCACTCCCTGTTACCTGCTGGCTTCTTTCTACCTCCATGTTGACATGTCCTCTTGTGAGGCCTGCTTTTGTCCTCATTACTGAGAAAGAATTGGGGTATCAGGCCCTGTTGGCCCACTGGTCTTTTAAACATACTGAGCGGGTATAAGGCAGTGAATGATGTAACTCCTGAAATCATTAACTACTTAGATCAGTGGTTCCCAAACTTTTTATCTTCTGACCCACAAAACAACAGTAGCAGAGACCTGTGCCCCCAGCTAATCTTGGATGATAAACATTTGTATCAGGTCAACAAAACATGGGCATAGTAACAATATTTTTTATACTACATTTATCCATTTTAAATACACTAACCTCACTCCTTTGTAACAACTAAGACAAAAATGTGATTAATTCATAAAATCTTTTCAGGACCCCCTCTTGATGTTTCGGGACCCCACTTTGGGTCCCAACCCCAACTTTGGGAAACACTACTCTACTCAGCTCTACTCTACGCTACTCTACTCTAATGTACGCTACGCTATGCTACTCTATGCTACTCTACGCTACTGTACTGTACTCTGCTCTACTCTACTCTATGCTTCTCTCCTGTACAGTACTCTACGCTACTCTACTGTACTCTACTCTATGCTACTCTACTGTACTCTACTCTATGCTACTCTACTGTACTCTACACAATGCTACGCTACACTACGCTACTGTACTCTACTGTACTCTATGCTACGTTATGCTACACTACGCAACTGTACTCTACTCCTACTCTGCTCTGCTCTGCTCTACTCGACTCGACGCTATGCTATGTTACGCTATGCTATGTTACGCTATGCTACGCTACTCTATAGGCTTAGGCTAATTTTATTTATTTATTTTTGTGAGCAGAATAACACATTTCTTAATTGCTTCTCCTAATGTTTTTTGACAAGCTTTGCAGTCATTTATCTCTGGAGAAATTTCAGCCACAAAACACAATATTTCCTGATTTTTTTTTTAATCTTTTGATACAAAAACTGCATAAGCTCAACAAGAGACATGTCAAACAAGGCATAAAGAAAGAGTTGCTATGGAAATCTGGATGTCTATGCAAGAAGTTAATACTCATACGATTAAAAAAGAGAAATAAAAATTAGGAGCATTTCCACATTAATATAGAACGTATAGAGAAATATCACTACTCATATCGGCATTCTGCTACTGCTGGTGTGTAGCCTTGAAATAAACCAACGAACACCTCATTTTGGGCTTGGGTCCTAAGCTGCCTGTGTTTCCCTTTAGCTTTTCAGTCTAGTCAGAATTAAACAGCATTTTTTTTTTCAAGCTGAGGTCGTTCAAAGTGTTGTCTGCAACAGGTAAGATATTTATTGTTCATAACCTTTCCTCAGAACCTGAGTTCAAACAAATCTGATCTGTTAAGTTCAGCCTGTAAAAAGAGACATTACAGGAGAAGATCAGATATTAGTTTTCTTAGTTGAGATGATTTGTGGTTGCACACATGTTTGAGCCTGACCTCTGTCCGACCTCAGGGCCTGTGTCTGGACATCGAGCAAACACAACAAGCCTCCGATCCCGCCCAACTACAGAAATGGAGTGAGCTCTCATCCAGGGCCCGCGACGAGCACGGCACCCTGCAGTGCATTCTGGGCAGCATGAAGGACAATCAGGTAGCTGTTACTGGAGCTACGCGGCCGGTTAATTACTGACGACGAGCGACGTTCATGTCGTCTCCGTTTCCGTGCTGTGTTCAGGTACGTTTGGAAAAAGTGGAATCTTGGTTGGATGAGGTCCAGGAGCTGTTGTCTCGGGACGCCACGGGTTTGGGAGACGCGCAGAATCTGCAAGACGAGCTTAATCATTGCAAGGTGACCAAAAAAAACTTGATTGTGTTCATTTTTTTTCAAAGAACTTTATGTATTTTATTTAAAAGTGATTRTAATGTTTTTGATTAATATCCACAGCATGTTAATCGGACACATTTACAACTTTATTCAAACTGTCCATGTTTTGTTGCTTCACATAGAAACATAAAAAAAAACAATTTTGGAGTTGTCCTTTTATTGTTTTTTTTTGCTGTGACTGATTCTCTCACATACATAGAAAAAGAGTTATACAGTTTTAATAATTTGGATTGAGAAAAGTTTTTCCTTTGTTTTGAACTAGGAGTATGTGAATAAGATGGAGTTGGTGGAACGTTCATTGAAGCAGATGGAGGAAAACGTTTATGCTGTGCAGGGGACTGCAGTCCCAGGACTGGCCAAGTGGGGGAAGGATAAGTTAGAAGAACTTGAAGGAAGATGGGATAAACTCAGCAAACAGGTACCCCAAACTTTACCCTGTATATTTCACTTTAATAAGTGGTTTGTTGCATTTTAATGTTGTATAATTGCAGTAAATAGTTACTTCTGTGTGTTTATAGCAATCTATAAGTGATGTACTCTAGTAAATTTAGCGTTTGCATTTTATGTTTGCAGTCTGTGTGTAATTTCCTCCAGGATAAACCTCGTGTTAGGTCTAAACGTGTTCATAAATGTGTTCTGGTGCTCCTTTTTCAAACCTGATGAAATCCTGACGCTTCCCTCCAGCTGCTGAGCTATCAGGAGTCGGTGACAGAGAGTCAGGAGAAGCAGGAGAATCTGAAGAAAGACCTGGCGGAGATGCAGGAGTGGATCGCCCAAGTTGACGAGGAGTTTCTCATGAGAGACTTTGAGTACAAAAGTCCCGAGGATTTGGAGGCGTCACTGGAGGAGATGAAGGTGGGGGCGCTGTTAGCAAGTACACCAACTGTGAAAAGAAACTGTGAAGATGCTAAAGCTAAACGTGCCAAACGGCTAACTAAAATCTAAAAGTAGAGCGGAGTTGGTGCGCCGAAGCTGATTTGAAAGGTTTGAATGYTTTGTTGAAATCAAAGGCATCTCCACGTCCTCGTGTCTTCCAGCGAGCAAAAGAGGACGTGTTTCAGAAGGAGGTGAAGGTAAAGATCCTGAAGGACAGCATCAACCTGCTGGTGTCCCAGAAGCTGCACTCTGGTGGAGGCTTTGGGCAGGAGCTGACCTCGGAGCTGGACGACGTGCTAGCCAACTATCACAAGCTTTGTGACCGCCTGAAGAGCAAATGCCACACCCTGGAGGTAACTTCTGTCAGAGTGGAAAATAAATCAGTAAAGTTAATCAAAAGAGCGTTTTTCATATTTGATGTGGTAATATCTGACCTGCAGCTGTTTGCAACACATTGTTTATGCTTTATTATTATTTTTTGGCTGTTGGGTGAATTTAAAGACTAAAAGTGGAGTTGAAGTGTCAGAAACAACACAGATCAGCTTTCAAGTTCTGTTTTTTTTAAGTTAGGTTAATAAGTTAATATTTTTTAAATCTTGTCATATGAGTTTAATAAAAAGTAAATCAGTCATGTTTGCTCTAATAAAAACCTGTAAACAGATAAAAGAGGTGAAAGGTAGTATAAGCATAGCGTAGGATATCCTACACTACGCTACGCTATGCTACGCTACTGTACTGTACTCTATTGTACTCTACTCTAGGCTACTGTACTGTACTGTGCTGTACTGTACTGTACTCTACCGACTATACTCTTTTCTGCTCAGCTCTGCTCTGCACTACTCTACTGTACTGTATTCTACTGTACTCTACTCTATGCTACTCTACTGTACTCTACTGTACTC